TATACATATATCTTATGAATTTTTAAAGTCCAGAAATTTAAGTTCATTTTATGAAATAAAAATTAATTTTTAAATCATAAACACAAGCGAAGTGATTACGTTGTAAAATATGTTACTTCAAAATTTAAAGTATTTTTAATTTTACTATCGAATGAATTACTTTGTTTCGTCCGCTAACTCCCTGATTTTATCTTATTAATTTCATCGCTATCAAAACAGCGAACATCTATTGAAACGTGTTTCACCTTAAAAGTGTGAACATTTGTGAAGCAAAATAGCTGTCATCCAGTGTCATTCTTAGTCTCCAATAACTTCGCTATTTCTTCTATGCGTACTCTGAGTTTTCGATTGCGTGACATATGTATTTTAAGGGGAGTGTTGCATAATCAATCTGATCTAATTATATAAATTTCAATGTTCGAAACAGAACGCAAATCCCTGTCATGCAAATCGCATATCAATAGGATAGCGATAAAATTGCGAAAACATTACTGTGCCCGTTTACTGTGGGCAGTCCATCTTGTAACACTTCTTAAATTCCACCAAAGGTGGACAGAGCTTGGCCCAGACTCCTTTCGGCTGCTTCATCACACTTCTAATCCTATTTCGTAAACCCTCGCCGCAGGTTACACTGCACTTCGACCACTTTGACCACGATGTCACTTTACAGTCCTCTGAAACTTTGAACGGGACAGTTAGATCAATAAAACTGTCAGTTTTCCCTACTTACATGTTCTGGCAAACGAATATCAGGCTCCTCCCTAGACACATTAGTTATGCAAGCAATAATGAACTTATTTTACATTCTAAGCTATCATATTAATTCGTTTGCTTCTTTCTATTTATTTATAAATATGTTCAGCAAAATGCTTATTTTGTTGGCTTCTGCAATTTTTCTTCATGTAAAAAAATTTAATATTATTTTTATATTCAAATTCAAGTACTGAAATATATACTACATATGAAAATATTATTCTTTCATATCAAGAAAACCATAAAAAACTGGAAACTCAAACGAAATAAATATCGAATTTGTAGTAAATTGCACGTATTTTAGTTATCTGCTTGAAACAACAAGAAACTTACTTTCAGTGCTGGTATTTTTGGCTCGATGAAAC